CTGGAGGCGGCTGCGTTGCCGTGAGCGGGGCAGCTTCGCGGGCGGGGCGTGGGGCGCTGGGGGCTGCCAGGAAAGACCTAGGGCTGCCCTGAGTGTGGCTGGCCAACAGGTCGCCTGGCTGGGGGTGGAAGGTATGGACTGTTCTCTGGCGCTTTTTTTTTTCTTTTTTTTCCTGTTTTACGCTCACAGCAACAAAAGCGGTTTGGGGGCAGTTGCTTGAAGTGTTGAGCGCAGTTATCCGTGTGTGCTCAGCATGGCACAATCCTCTATCTGCCAGCTGTCGCAGAGCTGGTTTCCTCGTGGACACGATGTTCTCTTGCCAATAAATAAACTTTTCAGTTAAGTAACAGCGTTATTAATGGGCTTCTAAGAATAACTAAAAGTAGGCACATCGCAGAGAAATTTAAGCTTTTGCACTTTAGGATAATCTGCAAGTACTTGTCAAAACATTATGGTAATCCCCTTTCCTGAAGCCTGCCTTCCAAGCTATCAAGCAGATGTTCTGAACATAAGTTTCTGTGAGCAGAGGGAAAGGGGAGTAAGGGAAACCTGACAGCTGCTCTTAAATATGCTACATGTACCTCCTGAGGATAAACTGAGCAGAGTAATAGCCCTGATCTCACCGTATAGCCTTATTCGTTCTTGGAAAAGCTCTTCATTAGCTCTTGTCAGCCAAAACATGCTGTTCTAGCACTTCCCTTACTTTGATAGAACAGCTTAAAAAACTTTTCTAGGTACTGTTGAATGTTCACAGTCTGTTGTTTTTTTTTTTACTTATTTAGAGGCGACTATCTGCGATGCTGCAAATTCTGTTACCCATTATGTGCGTTTGTCATTCTTGCCGCTTGTGTGGTAGCGTGCGTTGGCTTAGTGTGGATGCAGGTGGCTCTTAAGGAGGATCTGGATGCAATAAAGGAGAAGTTTCGAACTAGTAAGTATGAATGTAATTACACTATTTCACGTTTGCTTTGGGCAGTATGAAGAGCTTTAGTTGCCTACCTGCTTATTCAAATTCTTGAAGGTACTGAGTAGACAAACTGCTCCTGAGATGAAGAGCCCTCTGAGCCAAAAACATTTGGAGGCTGGACAAATCTAAGGCAAATGTTATATATTCTTGCCTGCTCTGTATCTTCTGAGGAGACATTGGACTAGGTGGGCCTGTACTTACTTGTACATACATTTCTGAAATTCCTGACTTCAGTCTTGAGAGTGCTCTTTTTCAAAGGAAGCCACTATTTAAAAATAAAATGTTCTGATCAGCCCTGTAAAAGCAGTCTAGGGGATTTTGATGCGTCCCTTAAAAAAAAAAAATTAATGGAAAACAATGTTCTTGTCTTGAGGTCTTTTAAAAACCTCTAATGCTTGCTGTGGTGTTACTGCAATTTTAACGTGGCTTCAGCGTTATGTTTTTTCTTTGTATCCTCTGAATGTTTATCTTGCTTGCATTGACCTTCAACTTTTGTATTGTGTTGCGTATGGTGTGGAGTTATGTTATGTTTAGTACTTTGAGGTGTGGAGTTCATGTGAAGCATTTTGCTTGTAGGTCTTAGGTTGTCTCTGTTGATCTAACATCTCAGTATTACAACTTTTGTAGTCCTGAAGTTTAACAAGTGGTGAGATCTGCATGTGACGTGTGCTCTCAGTTCTCTGTAACTCACCTCTGGACACAGGATGTGTTTTGGTCCCTTATTTTAGCATTGTTTAAAATTCTATGTATTGAAAAAGGATAAGATGAGGAGCTCTGTGAATGGAGCAGAAGAGAGTGAAGCTTGAGCATTCAGATGGTCCCTAGCCGCTTCAGGAAGGCTCTGTAGTTAGTTTTGCCTGAGGAGCACAGCTGTTGACTGGATTTTGTCCCATAGCTTTGGTCTTAGAATTTTTGTGCCCAGGACATGAAAATGACCTTAAAAATAAGGCTGATGAAATCGATTAAAAGATTAGGAGACTGCTAGGGCTGGAGGTAAGCAAAGGGCTTGATTTGCTTGTGGTAAAAGAGTTATTGAGGAAATGTGTATAGAAATTATTTGCTGTGGTGTTTAGAGTTTCCTGTTCAAATGTGTAATTCTGCTGTGAGGTGGGGAGCTGTCTGCTGAAGTGGAACCTGCTGGCTGGCTGGGAGTGAGAAAAAATGTTGCTGATAGATGTGCTTTTGTATTAATTGATACTGAACTCTGAAAGTTAGCCTTAACTGATTTCCACCAGTTACAGAGGATACATTCAGTTGCAGGCACTGCTTTGTGATTGTGAGGTTACTGGGCAGCTCTGCAGTAGCTGTTTCTGTGTTCTGAGTAAGCTGGCTGCCCAGAAGCTCTTATTGAACTGGTCTCCTTCAAGTATGTACTGGTAGTAAAAGTTTTGCACGATGACAACATTTGTTGGCTTTGGTGTAGTTAAGTTTCAGCATTCCTGTTCTACGTAGACCTCTTTGTTAAAGCAGTTTCTCTCTCTGCGCTTACTTTCTGGCAATTACAGATGTGCTTGTTTTTTCCTGAATAGCTCTGGCAGAAAAGCTGTGCACCTAATACTTTGTCTAGTGATAAAATAGTCTCAGATTTCCTTGCCACTGTAAGAGCATGCCTAGTAACTGCATGGGAGTCTCATAATGAGGTACAAGATTAAAAACGTCGACAAAAAAAGACAACAAGAATAACCTGGTTCTGGAAGGTAACACTATGCTTTGGTGACATGTGTGGGTGGATGGAGAAACCAAGGCATAGGATCAGTCTGTTCTACAACAAGTTTGGGAAAAGAACCTTCCTTCTCTGAGTCTTCATCCAGAATTTTTTCCCTGTAAGAGCAGATTCTTGTGGTAATATTTGTTAATGTTCTGCCATCTTTTGAACAAACTGAGTATGGCATGAATGCTTTTTAATAATAAGACATCTTTACATGTAGTATGCTTAGGATAAGGGGAAATCATTGTGGTGTTTCCCTTCAGTTGTTAGTAATGTGATGCTAAGAATGCATGTAGTTCTTAACCTTCCTAGCACTGCAAAAAACTTAAGTGGAGTCTCACTGTACACAGTGAGAGCAGCAAAACAGAAAATAATTTCTCTACAAGAGCCTCTGAAACATCAGATTCAGTGTGAACTGCTTGTGTCAAATGCCCAATTAGTGTTCAGCCTGTTTTGGCTAAAAGGTCTTACTTAACCAAAAATGTTATTCAGATCTTGGGTGATCCATGTAGATTACTCTGTACCTAGAAGTGACTTTTAAGACTTGTTCCAAGGTAAGTGAAGTGGATTTTTGAAGATGCACAGCTTTCCAGTTTTAGGCATCCACTCCACAGGCGTGAAGCACTCCAGAAGGCCAGATGGGTCACATGTGGAAATTTGTTCTGGGAGCTGCCAGCTACGTACCACAAGTCCTACTTCTCTTGGCAGCCTGGTCTGAACAATGGCAGCTTGTTGTGGAGCGTTCCAGTGCTGCCATACAGGGTGGAGGTGCATGTTTTGGAGAACTGTCAGCTCCATCTCAGAACCATTGCTTATTTGTTCCCCAGACCTAGGGATTTAAGATTGCCTAATAGCGCTTGTGGCTAAACAGTTTAGTCACTGCAGACCTGAAGAGCTGCATTTCTGAGGCTCACTTGCTTTGGTCTGAGCTTTATGTTTCCCCCTGGATGTAGTATTAATTGCAGTAATAACTGACTTTACTTCCCAAGGACCTTATTTCCTTATTTGTTTACCAACAGACGTTACTGTGTAAGCTTATACATATTTTCCAGTTGTGTCTCTGTCACACGGAACAAGTGTAATCTCATTAATCTCTCTGGAATTCACTTCATTGTCAGTTGCCCCTTTGCAAGCTTGAAAAGGGCACAGAGGTTCATTTCATGTGCCTCCTTTGCCCTGGTAGTGGTGGCAGTTCTTATTCACACTCCCATTACTATTTCATGCTCCTCCCTGAAAGTAATATAAAATAACTGCACTAAATAAAGACCTGCTGAGGCTTGCCAGAATGACAGTACTATTGCAGAGTGTTAAATTTAGTATGATCCCTCTGGGTTCTCTGCAGATGTTAGTACTCTTAGAACAAAAAAGAGCTGTTATTCTGAACAAACACTTAATTCTGAATTGGCAATAAACCCATGTGTAGAAACTGTTAATGCCTTCTTTTACTCATGTAGATGTTGCTGCTTCTAACTTGTTTTCTGCCTTTCAACATTGTTTACCTGGACTTTGGGGTTTTTTTTGAAAGCAAATTTAATTACTTTTTCACTTTTTTTAGTGGAATCTAATCAAAAGACATCATTCCAAGAAATTCCTAAACTGAATGAAGATTTGGTGCAGAAGCAAAAGCAACTAGAACAAATTGAGACTGGAGAACTGGGGCTAACTAAAATTTGGATAAATATTACAGAGATCAATAAACAGGTGAGATGGATCAGTGCTTGGTTTTGAAAAATAATTAAATACTCCAAGTTTTATTTTTACAAAAATTAATTTCAAATGCAGGGCTGAGATTTTATCTAAGGACTTTCATTTTTAAAGTAAAATGGAGTACAAGCCTCACTATTAAACAAAAAAAGTTTGACCATCTGGTTGGACTGAAGACTGATCACAAAGAGAAGTTACACAACCCGTGGAAAGACTTCAGGCCAGACTTAGAAGAACCTGAGAACTGTGCAGTTTTTAATTTTCCTGCCAGATAATTGTGATAATGAGAGATTTGACAATGCATGTTTCTGAGAATGTCCACAAATGTTTCATAAGCATGGAAGGGAGTTAGTTACCCATTAGTTCACGTTGCTACAAATGAAGTACTGGTGTCTTGTGAATATAAAATCTGTTAATACACACTCAGAATCTGAGCCAGAGTAAGTCTTAGCTCTGTTTGTGGCTAGAACTAAGCCACTTAACAGAAAGCTGTTTCCTTGGCTGCTGTATTAATTCATGCTTCAAACAATGCATCCAGCAAGGCTCTTACTAAAATTCTTGCCGTGGAGGGTAAAAGTTCAGAGCTGCTCACAGTTAGTGGTTGTTGAGAGGTGTGGGTGTGGAACCCTCCCTGACACTGGTGCTTTGGGTATAATTTTTAAGGGTACTGAGGTACCTGCTCAGATTTTCTTTTTTCTTTTCAGTCCCATGCAGTGGTAAAGTGCTTAATGGGGCATATAACTATATTTGAAAATGTGACTTGCTTTCTTTGGTATCTGTCAGTATGCATTATCCACAGATATTTAAGTGCTTCATTGGACTTTTTAAAAATGCTATCATCTGCACCTGCATGTTAAAGATACTTGCACATGGTTCTTGCAGGCCCTCAAGTTACTTCAGAGTCTGGTTACAATCTGAGCTAACTCTTCTGGGGATCAAAATTTAATTACTGTTTTTCCATGAATTGTTGGGATGTGCTGCCTGGGAATTATTTCAGCCAGTATTCACAGCTGTGGAACCAGAGGCTCTGCATGCCAGCTGATCGTTGCTGGTGCAATGTAAAATTAGGACCTTGCCATTTCCTCAGCTTGCAAAACAACTTTTATTTTTAAGCAGAAGAAAGTAGTCTTTTATCTGCTCTACTTCTGTGTTGTCAAATGTGAGAAGAAATTATTTTTGATGACTAATGGCTACAAATTGATCTTAAAGTGATAGTGTTAGCAATTAACAATTAGCATGTAGTTAGTTTATTTGAGAGTCTTTTCAGTTGGAATGAGTAATCTTGAAGGCTCATTGAATAATTTGCTGCCTGAGTTAAGCAGTTAAGAGAAAATTGAGCTAACCTGCTGTGCCTGGGTTGTCACTGTGTCACTTCTGTGGCAGAAGGTTTGGGTAATAAGTACAAGTTCTTTGCCCATCACTCAGCTAGAGGAGTTGCATGGCTTTTCTGGGTTTTGCCAGGCAAATTTGATTGCTAAATACAGAAATGGATAATTGTTTCCTCTATGTAAGGGTTTGTTGCACAATTTTTTAAAATCTTTCTTAGTCAGCAGCCTCTCTCTAAGGGGATGAATGTAAAATGGGCAGAGGGTACCTTATCGAAAAGGGGGGTCTTCTGTTTCTTTCATTCAGTTTTGAAAAAAAAAATCTTGCTTCTGTTGCAAGAGGGAGACTATTTTTAATGTAGCCTAGGAAGGACTTCTGACCTAGACAGGGGTGTATTGTGTGTGTGCACATATATAATTTTGTATTGCCTTATGTTTTAGTGTTACAAATGAAGTCATTAGTACTGGCAAAGGTCAGAGTCAATATTATGTTGATTAATTCTAAATATTCCTCTTTCTTTTTAGATATCACTATTGACCTCAACAGTAAATCATCTCAAAAACAACATAAAGTCTGCTTCTGATCTGATTTCTCTTCCTCTCACAGTAGAGAAACTTCAGAAGGCAAGTACTATAAATGTTGCTATTGCGAAATGTGTTCTGTGGTGTTAAGCGGCAGCCAGGCTCCTGGGGACAGCAGTGACAACAGGAGTTACCTGCATTGCATGTGAGGAATATTTGTTTCTCTTGTTTTTAAATTGGACTTCAAATACTTGATATTGTATGGTCTTACAATAATGTATGGCAGGTAGAAAATGTGAAGGCCTTGTTTCTCATGGAGATGCATTTGTTTGTATTATGTTGTCACTTCTTTAGCTTGGAGCTGATCTTTCTGGTTGCTTTCCTTCAGGTTGCTAATCTTAATATCATTTAAGGCACTTGCAAAAAGTCTGTCTGCGGTTTTACAACTCTGCTTGCAAAGAGGTGGTTTATTTAGCTTTTTTAATTGGAAGAAAACATGGATTGCTTTCTGGAAAACTTCCTTATCTTTAGCAGCATATAGTTTTACATGTGGCTTTGCATTTACAGTCTTGAGGTAGGTGGGGGTCTAACTTGGGAGCAGTGGGCTGGAACATTAGCTTGGGAGCTTTCTTGGTGTTCAGTACACACACAGCAAAAGATGAATTGTATTGGGATGGTTTTCTTTCAGTCCCTTGAAAGATGGGCCTTACTGGGTGACACAAGCTGACTTCTAAAGTGACTTCTGTTAATACAGTGTCTTACTGTGTGTCTTAGCTGAGCATTCTTTAGTAAAGAACTGTTCTGTTTATTTTGGGAAAAAGAATGGCTTCTTGAAACTTCCTGGCTCTTCCATGCAGTTCTGTTTATTTAGCATAAATGTTTATACTGGGCTAACACCTAATGTCAGTCCAGTCTTTGTGACTTTTATGGGTTTCCACTTCTCATTTCCTATCCCCACAAAATTAATGTACAATCAACAAGCTAGTTCTGTGCAAAGCAATTAGTGTGGTTTGGCTGATCAGGCTGCTAGGATATATTTTTTTGGGAGGAGTACAAAGCTATTTCCTAAGCTTCTAATTTGCTGTTATGAGCATGTTGGATTTTCACTGTGTCATATCAGAAGTAATTCTTAAGGCAGTACCTAGTCTGGAACCTACAACTTTTTTTTTTTTTAATATATATAGTATAGAGAAACCTTGTTGTCATCTTGCTGCCTTTGGTACACTCAGGACAAAGTTTTAGGGCCAACAGGTTTCAGCTTGCAGAGATCTGCTGAACAGTAGGGGTTTTTCCTGTTGAAATAAGTCCACCCTTGGTCATACTTTGTGAAAATCAAAGATCTTGGGAAATTTTGAGTCTTTGCCAGTCTCTGCTGTTAAGTCTAAGGTGTTAGATGTGACATCTGTTTCCAGTGCTCTCTTGATGCTATCTTGTTGCATTTATGCTTTGAAAGGTTGATAAAATAAAAACAGTGCTGGAATCCTTCCAGGAGGTATATTGTGAGGTGTTCACTGTAGAAAAAATATTTTGAGGTTTAAATACAATAGTTTTAATAGTTTGTAAGTATTGTGTTAATGAAGAGTGACAGGTTTCAAGACCTGGATTACTTTTTGACCTCTGTGTGCATGCTGCACTACCTCCTGTCATGCAGAAGAACTTCAGTGAGTGTAGGTGTGTAGCCTGGCTTTCGATAGCCCCAGTGAAAAATCTCCTGCTCAACTGCCCATTGCATCCAGCTAGCTGTCTTTGGAATTGCCTGCCATTCCAGGAAGAAATAATCTATTAGCAGTCCTGGCTAACTGGGGAGGTCCCAGTTGACTGGAGGTTAGCAAATGTGACACCCATCTACAGCAAGGGCTGGAAGGAGGATGGGGGAGCTACAGGCCTGTCACTCTGACCTTGGTGCTAGGGAAGGTTATAGAGCAGATCATCTTGAGTGCTGTCACATGGCACATACAGGTCAACCAGGTCATCAGGCCCAGTTAGCATGGGTTTATGAAAGCCAGGTCCTGCTTGACAAACCTGATCTCCTTCTATGACAAGATGATCCACTCAGTGGATGAGGGAAAGGCTATGGATGTTGTCTACCTAGACTTTAGTAAAGCCTTTGATACTGTTTCTCACAGCACTCTCCTGCAGAAACTGTTTGCTCATGGCTTGGATGGACGTAGTATTCTATGGATAAAATCTGGCTGTGTGGCTGGGCCCAGAGAGTTGTGGTGAAGGGACTTAAATTTACTTGGTGGCCAGTCACAAGTAGTGTTCCCCAGGGCTCAGTGTTGGGACTAGTTCTCTTTAATATCTTTATCAATGATTGAGTGCAACCTCAGTGAGTTTGTATATGACACCCAAGTTGGGCAGGAAGGTTGATCAGCTTGAGGGTAGGAAGGCTCTACAGGGGGATCTGGACGAGCTGGATCGATGGGCCAAGACCAGTTGTATGAGGTTCAACAAGGCTCTGTGCTGCTGGGTCCTGCACTTTGGTCACAACAACCCCATGCAGCGCTACAGGGCTGGGGAAGAGTGACTGGAAAGCTGCCTGGTGGAAAAGGACCTGGGGTTGTGTTGGCTGACAGCAAACTGAATATGAGGCAGCAGTGTGCCAAGGTGGCCAATAGCATTGCGGCTTGTATCAGAGATAGCGTGGCCAGCAGGACTAGGGAAGTGATCGTTCCCCTGTACCCGGCACTGGTGAGGCTGCACCTCAATCACTGTGTTCAGTTTTGGGCCCCTCACTACAAGGCAGACATTGAGGTGCTGGAGCGTGTCCAAAGAAGAACAACGAAGCTGGTGAAGGGTCGAGAGAACAAGTCTTGTGAGAAGCAGCTGAGGGAACTGGGGTTGTTTAGGCTGAGGGGAGACCTCATCGCCCTCCACAGCTACCTGAAAGGAGGCTGTAGTGCCGTGGGTGTCAGTCTTTCAGATAACAAGTGATAGGACAAGAGGAAACAGCTTCAGGTTGTGCCAGGGGAGGTTTAAGTTGGAAATTAAGAAAAATTTCTTCACTGAAAGTGTTGTCAAGCATTGGAACAGGCTGCCCAGGGAAGTGGTGGAGTCATGATCCCTGGAGGTATTTAAAAGACATGTAGATGAGGTACTTAGGGCCATGGTTTAGTGGTGGACTTGGCAGTGTTAATAGTTGGACTCAGTGATCTTAAAAGTCCCTTCCAACCTAAGTGATTCTGTGAAAAGGCTGCTATTCTTAGAATAGGATTTTGGTTTTCTTAAGCCTTTTTCCCTGTAGGTATTGTTCCTGAAAATGGGGTGCTGCCTGCTGGTGTTAAGAGTCCTGAAGGATTATTGAGGGAATTCCTTCTGGACTGTGGCTTTTGTTCAGACTGATGAAAGGTGCTAAAGGTGTCCTAAGATCCTCCAGGATGGAGAGGTTGTTTCCTGAACCTGTGCTCAGACTTGCAAAATGATGAGCTGGAGAAAGATTTGGGTGGATATTGTTTGAATGTAGTCTGGATAGCTAGAGTGTCACTTCAGTGCCTTAAGAGCTTATGAACATAACAGTCATAGGAAAAGGAGATTTTAAAATGGGTTCTGTTTGTTTTAATGATTGAAGAAAGTATTAAAAACGGAATAAGAACCATAGGGGCATGCTCTGCCCTGCTACTTCCACTAGTTTGCAGATATCCTAGCTGACAATCTGACTCTACGTGCAGTGCCTTCAGCTGCTGGAACACCAGTACAGCTTTACAGAATAGTTACTTTCTAAAGTTAGATCTGGGGAGAAGTAGGGGGAGTTCACATAGGTAAAGGCAAGGGAAAGATGAGACAGGAGTAGTCAGAAGCAAAGGCAGTTGTCAGAGCACACTGACTGTACCTACAGAATTCACAGCGGCTTTCCTGATACTTCAGAGCTATTCTTTCATTTTTAAAAAAAGCAGTCCTTGCCTGAAAATCTAATCTGCAACTTCTGGCAGACTTTATTTTTTTCAGTGTATGATGTGTCTGAAAGACAATGAAGGCAGGATAAATCAGTAATGTCAACATCCTTGTATTCAATACAAATACTCCATGTAGAGAGGAGGTAAGATGTCTTAATATCAGGATTTTTTTTTAAATTAATGACAGAACATTTGTATTGTTTTGGGAGTGAGAGTAGCAAACCTGTAATTGTGGTCATTTAGCTTAAGCTCTCATGGTGTAGAGTGTGTCTTTATTAGCCTGGAGATGGGATGGGTATAATTTGCAGTTTTGTCTGCAAATAAAGTTCCTAATACTTCAAATTCACATGCATAATTTTGTGGCAGTCTGCCTGCAGTTTCACTAACAAAACATTGTTTAGCAGGTTGAAACTTTGGGACAGTGCAGCTTGAGGAAGGCTGAGATTTTTGTCATGTTCTTTATTCCAGACTGTAGCGAACATCGGTAGCACGCTTACGAGTGTTTCTCATGATGTTGAAAATATACAGACAGCTATTGAAGAATTCAAGAAATCCATAGAAATACTCCAGAATGATGTGGTAAGAAAATGTGTACTGCATTTTAACAGTTAGCTTTATGAAGCCAAGATTAAGAACTGGGTGGAGTTCTGCCTTATGCCTTCAAAATACTTTTGAAGTTTCAGTAGGTGCTGGTTGGTACATTAATACTCTAATCTTCTAATCCCTGTGTGGCATTTCCTATATGGTACCAAGTACGTATTTCTCTGGAGCCAGAAATTTTGGTCCCTATTACACTTACCCTGCAGATTTTTTTGCTTCCTACTACACAGTTGTGGAACCTTTGGAATCTCTGCTTCTGTGTGATTCAGGGAACTGCTTATGGTAACTGTCTGCACTGTTTTAGGATTGGGAATGCTGGAAGTGTTGAGATAAAGGTTGTTGGCTGAATTAAAGATGTGTATAAGGATGAAATTATTGACCATCTTTACCAGAAACTACTCACTGTATTTATACTGACCTCTCAGTTGGGGTTAACAAACTGAGCCAATAATTAAAGCTTTTCAGCTAAAATGCAATACAGCATTACTTTAATAAGAATACTTGCAGACAATATCTAAATTAGACACATTATAAAAATTGATTCAGTCAGTGGGTGCTACAAGAACATTGCTGATATGGCAGTGTGTATGGTAGCAGTGAAAAGTGTATCATAATACTTCATTAAAGGGAGAAGAGCTAATTAGAAGGGTTTAATTAAAATAAATTTGGACGTTATGTAGCTGAAAGAAAACTGTATTAGCCTGGTTAAAATACTGCATGCCAAACAGACACGAGTGACTATAATTGTAGCAAAACATTCTTAGCTACAGCCTGCCAATTATTAAAAGCTTAGTATTTTTTTTTTACAGACATTTGGTAACATAATTTTCTACTTCTTTCCTTAGAAGGAATTAAAACAGATATCTTCACTTCCCTCCACTGTTGTACCAAGGACTGAGAGAAATCAGACAGAAATTTGCAAAAAGGTATTTTTCTCCCTTGCATAAGGAATATAGGTACAAGTATCACTGATATGTAACTTTGTGTGTTTTGCACTACTGTTGTGTACAAAAAAAATATGGATTTTATCAATACTTCAAAACAAAATATAATTGTTCCTGTGTATGTGCAAACAGGAAAGTACCCTAGTCAGTGTTTTTTTTGTGTTATAACTGGGTGAAGAGTAAAAAGACTGAAAACAATACCAAATAAATTATAGGTGTACTTTGCCCATGTAAATGGAAATGAGTTAAAGGCTGCTTATGGAATAGATTTTATGGCAGGTAATTGCCAAACAGCAAATCTGGGAGTGGCATGTAATGAGTCACCCTTAATGTAATGAGGTGTGGAAAGCAGGGATTCAGCAACAACAACAAAAAAAAGGATAAGGTGTGCCTGTTCAGCTGAATGGGTTGGAATGGAATGACTGCTTTTATTTACATTTAATACAGTTGATATCTTCCTCAAAAATGAATATTGTATATAAATATGCCTAGTACATGCTTTCTTGGGAAAAATGGTTGGTGTGGTTACTAAGCTTGCCCTGGAAAATTAGATGAATAGGCTTTCTGTGTTGGCTGGCACAGCTGAAGTGATTACATTAGCAACAAAAAGAGGTTAGCCCTGAGGAAGAGTCTCAGTTTCAGACTTTGAAAGCTGGAATAACTTTCCGGAAGCTTCCAGTTAGATGCTTTCAGCGGTGTCGGTAGAGAGCCAGTCTGAAGTCTGCCCAGTTAAACTGGGTCAGTCACCATGTTGTTAATAGCAAGAGCACTGCAGAGGTTGAGAAAACTGACATGTGCTGGTTTTGTATTTCAGGAAAGCCAGTCACTGCATATAGCTTTGGAAGAGCTAAACAATACTGTAGTGGTGTACCAAAAGTTGAATGACGTAAAGCTTCTAAATGTGGACTCAGCCATTGGTAACCTTAGCCAGAGGGTTATGCTGTTAGAAAACTCTCCCCTTGCTGTGAATAATCTGGACAAAAGAGAGAACTTGTCTACCAGTGTGGTGAGTATTTGAAGACTAGGGGTGTCTACTCAGGCTAGTAGTTTTAATACTTCCTATACACTATAGATACAACTTTTCAAACCTAACTAAAGAAAATGTGTGAGTGAAACTTGAGACACCTAAGATTTCATTTTAAAAGGCTGGAATTTGTTCCATATTTCCTAACAGATAACCAACATAAGAGTATCTCAGAGAGTGGTTATTTCTATCCTTCAGAATCTAAGGAAAAATGTCCAAAACACGGTGACATTTAAGACTTGTGTGACTGCTTAATGGAACAGGATTCACAAACCTTTTTATGTTTTAGGAAGGCACTCTGGCATGGGTCTGTTAAGACCACTGAGGAGCTAGGTGGGCCTCTGGCTGTCATGCTTAGATGTTTAAAAAAAGAAAAATATGTTTGTAAATACTTCCAGTGCTTCTCTATGCCATACTGGGGCCACTCTCTGAGAATGTGTTCTGTATGTTTAGCAATAAGGAACATGCTGATGTTGCTGTGGTAAATTACATAACCCACTGTCTTCATGTTTATTCTAGCATGTATTTGTCCTGTCTTTTTCCTGCTTCATGTCTGCCAAATTTGAAGTAAAGAAACTCGATTGTAGAATATAATGAGCACATGAATAAACTTGGCTGCCTTCCATTTTTCCTGTAGGATGCAACTACCTCTCTAAAAGTGGAAAATGAAGATCAACTAGATAATGCAACTCTTTCAAATAAAGAAACAAAGGTAAAGTAAGGAAACTAAATTACACTGGATTAGTAGAGCATGTCATTGTCTTTATAATCATGTTTTAAATAAGACTTAATTGAGGAAAGATCTGCAAGCAGGCTAATCTGATGAAGTTTCTTTTTAAAAAAGTCCAGAGTAGGACAAGTTACCTACCCCATTCTGGGGACAGGGAGTCAGTTAGGATGGGAGAAAAGTTACAACAGTTTAAAGTTTTGCTGTTCTGACTATATATGGGTTAACATAGCAGAGCTGCTGTAATAGCCTTCCCTGCAGCTGAAAGAATCTTGGGAGGTTCAGACCTTGGTCCAGTGGACTGGCAGCCAGCTCATGGGAGTACCCACTGCCATACTCTCACAAAAGCTAGCCCAACTGTTGTGGGTTCACACCGCAAATGGGGTTAAGGCATTTATCTAGGTTTGAAAGCTTTCTTGGAGAAACTTTGCACTAGTGGAGTCTAGGAATTGCTGAAAACCACCTCTCAGTAAGGATCTGATGACTGGCTGTGAGTTTACCAGACTGAATGGCCAAATTGTGGGCTGGGTATAAGAGGCAGCACTGCTGAGGTTAATTTCCATGTTTGGAAAGAAGGCACGTGAGTGAACTGGCTACAGTCAGTTCTAGGCTTGGATTGGATTGATGTGAACTCAATCAGTCTTCTGGAACCGACTCATAGAAAGAGCAAAGGAGCTCCAGATTAAAAAAATGTGGTGTTTTTACTTTGACAGAGATACAGTGACTCCTGCACTAAGGTAGTCAGTACTGCAGACAAACATTTGAAACAATTATGCAATTCAATTAATGTTCACTACAAGTATGTTTGACTGGTTTATATTATGATTTTTCAGAGTCTTGATCATTTATAGAAGAAATACAGAAATTAGATGTTAGATTCTTTTGAAATCGGCGTCTGCAAAACAGTTGCCTACTTTTCAGGTTGAGGTACTGATTTTGTTTTCTTGCAGACCATGTGGATTTATTCCTTACATCTTTTTTAAAAAAATTTTAAAGTCTTGTTTATAATTTTAAACTTGATCAGCCTGGAGACCACCAAGTCACAAAAAAGCACTTCCATCTTTTCCTGGTCCTCTCCATTTACGGAAGAGGTGCCTCTTCAATTTTTTTTCTACATATGCAGGAAACAGAAACTAGAGATTCTCAGGTATTAAAACTAAGAGAGAAGCTTCAGCTGATCAGCGCTCTCACAGGCAAGCCGGAAAATGACAGACCCATTGAGACATCGAAGAATGGTAAGAATGTCATATAGTAGTAATCCATAAACCTGAAGGTTCCCTGTGTAATTCAAAGAATAACTAATGATAATGGATAACCTAGATTGTTCCTTAAGATTTTGGTGATTATTTTGAAGTGGTAGGAAAACGATGGCTCTAAAATAGAAAACTGTCTATGACTACACAGGTTTGAAGGTGGCTTTCCATGTGTATAGCCGGATCCACATGTATCAATAGCTTGTATGCGAAGGCATACTGTGATTAATCTGTAGAAATTTATACCCAGTAACATCTATTTTTGCTTTTTCAAAATCTAAGTGTAACATAGAAGAAAGGCCTGCATCTCTGCTGACTTGTCAGAGTTCTGCACTTTTGCTGTATATATTCAGGTAGTGCTGAAGATCAGATTTGAAATATTTCATTACAGTAGAACTGTGCTTGTTAATGTGCTAAGCAGCAACTTAGAAGTTTAGACCTTGCTGTTGGGGAAGATACCTATATTGGCATGGTGAAAACAGCCTGGGTGGGCAGATGTGATTTGCTTAATAAAGCTTTTTCAGCACTTTTAGACAGGGAAGTTGAAAGCACTTCCCAGTCATTCCTTGGGATTTACAGATACACATCTCCTGGTACAGCCTGAAAGATTAAAGCTGTATAACTGTCCAATAAAAAGTTCTTCCTCTGTTCTTCCAGTTATTGGTAAAAAGAGACATCACTGCTATATTCTGTAACAATTTTGCAACATTCTTACAAGATACAGCATCTGTGATGCAAAAAAAAAATTGAAATTAATTAGTTTTATCACATTTTTTATTTTGTTTCTGCTAACTGTAATTCTGTGGAATTAGTAAGACTAATAGAAATTGTTTTGTAACAGTTGAAAGTAGTCTGAGTACTACAGCAAAGCCCACAGACCTTTCCAGGCTGGCTTCAAGGTCAGCTGATGACAACACAGAGAGTAATGGACAGCTGAGACATCTGTCCTTACCAGGAGTTTCCAGCATCCAAGGTATGTCCTTTGTGGGTTGACCTTTTATTTTTCTATTTCATGTAAATATTTAAGAGACAGTAAATATAACTGGAATGATGGTGGCATGTCTGGGCATTTTGGGAGATGTGAGGTCAATTTTAAAAGCTTGAGAACTACATGCTTTTTTTAAAAAAAATAATAAAAAAAACAACCAAAACCTTAAAGGAAAGAATAGTATGTAAACAAAAGAAAATGAGATTTAAACAGGAGTGTGAATTATAATTATTTTGAGTGCCAAAGTATTATACCAAGTGCCCCAAAGATTGAGAGAAGTCAAGGGCAGAATGCGGGTGCTGAAAAAAAAATTAAGTGGGTATGAGTATGTATGTTTTGGGGTTTTTTTTCTTTTTTATTTTAAAAGAACACTGCCCGGTAAATGAATGGTTCCTGGATCTTGCTGTTCAGCCTCTTCAGCTACTGAAAGGGCAGTGCTTTGCATCAGGAAATGCAAATAGACACTTTTCACTTTATATCGTCTGTGCTGTTGGTATAGCAACAGTCATTCAGAGCTTGCTTTTGTGGAGGGTAACTGCATCTGTATGCAGTTAGTGGTTGTAGAATGGGCTATTAGTCGTGGCCAGAAATAGGGATTACGTTTCTCAGATTTAGTGTAACTTAATCCAGAAATGTTCATGATTTTTTTTTTCTTCTAAACTGTTACTGACAGCTTGTAACAATGCAGAAGGCAAACTACATACTTGAGGATGCTTTATTTAGTGCAGTAAAACTGGAAGAGCACCTTATAGGATATTCCTGTGTATTTAAAGGAGCTACTTTTCAATCCTTGTTCTCTTTGCAGATCTTCAGAATTTGTTTGAAAAAGCAACTGAAGATGCTGATGGAAAACTATCATATGAAGATCTTCAAAAGCTGCTTGGCTCTACAGCCCAAGAGTCACAGAGCTTTAAGAAATTCGATACAGATGGAGATGAGAAATACTCATTGCAAGAACTGAGATTAGCATTAGGTGTATAGGATATATATTTAGAAATGTGATACTGATGGATGCTACTGTAGCTAAAGGAAACTATGGGACATGAAAAACTATGTCTGCACTTTCCCAGCGTTTTACTGATCTTTGGAGCTAAATTACTGTACACATTGCCACCTCTTTATTTCATTTGCATTTATTGAGAAGAAATTCACAAATTTATGTCAGTAGGACATATTATTGGGACTGTGTTAAAATCCAGAAAATTCCCAAACTTGGAAACATTTTCCTCTGATTCTTTCCTTTTCAAGGAATTTTTGGTTTTAATTTAAAATGTGTTCATACTAAAATAAAACTATGGTTTTATATTTCACTAAAATTTGCCTTAAATTAGAGTGCTGCACTTTATGTAGAGCAGAAGGAAGTCTGTCTTGTAAAGATGGGCTACTTCTGCTTGTAAATATTTGAGATAGAGTAAATTATGCATATTTAGGGGGAAGTTTGTGTCAGGGGCTGTGTTGGTAGTAAGCTGTTTATAATGAGAGACTGAGCCTAAAAGGGGTGGTTAAGAGCTTCAGCTAAAATTCTAATTTTGACTAAGTATATCCATGAATGAGTTTGGACTCAGTCAGCGGAAAGCAGGAGTGGTAAATCAGGCCCATCTATAGCAGGATTTATTTTTAGAGGGAAGAGTTGAAAGTGGTTTTATATCATGAGCCTACAGGAGCTACCAAGTGCTTGGGTTTTCACTTCAGCATTCTTTAGCTTTGCTGTATTGTGTCCAGATTACACTTTGTGAGATATTTTAAAAAAACAAAGGAAAGTATTGAATAACTTTAACAGATGCTTAAGAGGTAGAAGTCTACATTGCAACCTGCTGAGTAGCACCTGGATAGTTCGTGCCTTGGGTACAGTCACTGGTGTGCTGATGGTCTCACTGACAGGTCACTAGAGATCTTTGGAACAGGGTTGCTGGTGCAGCTGGTTTCTTCCATGCACTGTTGTTTGGGTCACTCTGATGGAGTGTCCAGAGTAAAGCTCCTGGTCTCTAGGAGTGTGAGCAGGTGGTGAAGGCCCAGAGTAGACTTGCGGGTTCTTTCCTGACTAATGTGAACATGATCACTTCTTGGTACATTTACCTTTTGTGTTCTTGCCAACAGAAGGATGTAAAAAGCAGGGTGGGTGTATGCAATCATGTCAGCGTTCTCTGCCGACACATGTTTTGTAAGTGAGGCTTCCTTACTGTGGAGGAAGTTAAGGGTTTGTTATACTAGTGGATCTAAACACAGAGAGTGTTTATGACCTTCTGGAACATAGAAAATGGCTTTCGCAAAAAGAATTCTCTTGCAGGCTAAATCAGGGCCAAGTTGGATGATTTTGCTCACAAATATCACTGATCTTGTTGGGAGTTTTATGCATGATTAGTGAATTCAAGTTTCCCACCTCACTGAAACATCAGTTTATGTGGAAGTCTGTTTATAACTGACTTTTATATAACTTTAGACTGGATGTTTTATGAATAGTTGCATTCTGTGAGTATGAAGTAGTGAAGGAATATACAAAATGGAACCCTGTTACCCATTGCCTAGGCTGCTTTCACTGTTGCTCTTCTATCCTGTTTGGGTAATGCAGATGTGACCCAATACAGAAATGCTTTTGATGTTTGAGAACAAAGTATTTAAAAACGAAACAAAACCAACCAACCTTGGCTTTTGAGAGGACAAGAAGCCACCACTTGCTTCTTGCCACTTCCCACACCCTTTTATACACTACTGTATAATTCCTTAACCAAATAAAAAAAAAAAGAGCAATAAAATGTAACCATTCTGGTATTTTATTTGTACATACTGTATCATAGCCATATGCCAGAGTTTGCAAAATATTTTTGGAAGTTTGATTTGTATGGAATTTAATGTACCTTAAAATTTAAGGGATTATTGTATTGCTATGTGAATCTGTTGGTGTTTTGTTTTGTTGCAGTCTGCTTTACTTTTAGAAGGCTTTTCAACAGCAGGAGTGAAACTGTCAGCTAGAGACAGCCTGTGCTGCTCCAGCTGCCCGTGGCCTCTGCCTGTGGCCCGGAGCTGGGCTGGTCCCTAACTGGCACTGGGGCACAGCTGTCTGCTGGTGCTGCTTAATTTGCATGTCAGGAGCATAGTTAATTGCTAATTGCTGTAGTCACTGCTGTTGTAGGATGGACTTGTACTGTCAGTTTAACAAATCTGATCACTCCTGAGCTCAGTGGTTGCTTCTGTTTGGCCTAGGGTAGCCAGTAGCCGTGTGCTGCAGGCTGGGAGCACCTGTCCCTGCGAGTTTTCTGCCAGGCTCTGCTCTCCATCCCGCATGCTTCCCAAAGCCCCGGCACTGGGTGTTGCCAGGCTTCCTTCCTCATCTTTTATTCACGCTGCAGATGGCAGAGGGCATATAAAAACCTCAGGCGGTGTCAGTGCACTTGTCGGGATCTGCGTTCTGCTGTAGCTCATGCCTACAGACTGCAGGCTTCCGGGGGGCGGTTTGGGGCTCATGTTCAGGCTGTGTTTGTGCCGTTTTGGCAGACCCCTGTGTAGGGGTTTCCGGAGGGGCGGTTCGTGGGTTCATTTTCAGGCTGTATTTGTGTTGTTCTGCGTGACCCCTGTGTAGGGACCACTGTGTAACCTTTCAGTGCAGTGACTGACCTTTACAGGGTGCTGCCTGCGCATCGTGCTCCTACTCCGCGGGTTTGCGCTACGGCACTCCACGCGTGCTTTTTTAAAAAATAAAAAAAATAAAAAAAATCCTGTAACGCGGCTTTTAATTTATCTCAATAAAAGTTCCTGTCGAGCCTGCGCTTCCGGCCCTTTCACTCCGGGGGAGGAGCGGGGCGGGGCGGAGCGGGCGCCATGGCGGGGCC